GTATAGTACTTACATAATATTCCAGCCATTCCGACTATTAAACCTCCAATAAACGTGACAAATTCGTCTGTACAATGCAAATCATCGGCAACTGACTCGTTGATAACTCCAAACATCGAGTAACCAACGCCTAGAAAGAAGTATATAAGAAGACTGTTAAGTAAACATAGGGTCTTATGTTGTGTAGTCATAAACCTATCGTTACTGGAGCTAGTGTCCATTTTCTTCTTGTGATTTGACTGAATTGTTACGCTACGGTTAACTTTTGTTCTGTGACTGAATGTCCATACACTAACGCACAAATGCAGTAGACCATGATACGCAAACAGATACATACGAGTCGGCTAGTCCACGGTTCGAGCATTTTGAGACTAATGTAAAGCGCTATATAAATCCATCTACTCTTTATTATTATTATTATAATTATTATTATTATTATTATTATTATTATTATTATTATTATATTATTATTATTATTATTATATTATTATTATTATTATTATTATATTATTATTATTATAATATTATTATAATTATTATTATTATTATATTATTATTATTATTATTATTATTATTATCATTATTATCATTATTAAATAATAGGCATATATTATTGTTTACACAGCATACCAATTAAAACTGCAAATTCAAAATATTGGACAGTGAATATTAAGAGAATTTTTATTTGAAAAATCAAAGTGAAATAATAATAATAATAACGATGATGATTAAGATGGTGGTTATGGTGATGTGATGATGTTACGATGGTGATGTCATTGTGACATAATGATGATGATGATAATGATGATGATGATGATGACGAAGATGAGATAAGCGTTTATGTGGAAAACACTTTCTTGACAGCGGCACACGTCACGGTAGCTGTGCATCCACGTACACGAAACAATAAAAATACAATCACGTCTATCAATACAGTGTTCGCTTAAAATAAGTGGGTCTAACTTTTTCATGAATATTGATTTTAACAATTTGCAATATCATTTCTTTGTTTTCATGTCTTTTCTTCTAAAATATGAAATGCAAAGGTAATTAATAAATTGTTTCGAGTATTTTAAAAATGTACAATCGTTCAAAATGTCAGAAAATATCCTTCAAAAATTCAAATAAAATCCTGAATACTTCATTTGAAGAGATCAAAGGTATTCCAACGAGAAACAGATCGAAAAAAGTTAAATGCCCGCCCCTTATTAAAAAATCTATTAAAGCAATAGATAAATAAAAATCTGAATTGATAATATTTGTCCTTACGTAATACTGCACATTATAATCTAAAAATGTTAAAAACAATGACTTTATACATGCGTAGCCCCTATGCATGTTGTAAAAATTGTCACTCAAACACTAGATGGAAATCTACAGTGAAAGAGAGATAGCACTCAAAGTGCTTGAGTTTGGCGCATATCCATGTCGATAGAATATCGTTTCAGTTTCGTTGTATTAACGACAAGGGGGTGGGGGTGGATGGGTGGGGATGTCATATAGCGTTTGCACATTACACATGAAATTAGTTGTTGAAATATATTTTCGCCACTACAGTTTTTGTAATAAAAATGTTGTTTATATAATTCTTGCTGCACGTTTTTGCAATATATTTTTCACGGATGTGTTTCCCGAAACCGAAATTGCATAATCTATGCCTGGTTCAATTGTGCTTATATAATAAGCAGAGATTGGTGCATTCGGCCAATTTTCCTAGGCTATGAATCTTGAAGCTTACAGACGTACCGGTATGTGTCGTATGATAATCTTATGTTATTTTAAGTTTTTGTACTCTATCTCTAAACTCAAATATCATAGGGGCCATAAGAAGGGAGTGTTTACGTCGCGGCTTTTTACCACTATACAAAAAAAATCGTATCGTTGAGCATGAACTCTTGTAGCATCCCTGAAGCGGATGCCGAGGGCGGGGGTGGGGGGTGCAGACAGTTTAATCGCACCCCCTAAATTGTATTAAAAAAATAATTGTTGTGTTGTATTATTAATATGGAGTTGGAGTGGAGTTGAATAGCTTGGTGGTTAAGATGCTTACCTTCCAATCCCAGGGTCCTGGGTTCAATTCCTGTCACAGTAACAGGATTTTTCTCTCACGACCAAAACAACTCCATTCCCTAAGCCTCCTAATGAGACTTACGGTACTTTATATGAGAGCATCTTGTGTTTATGTTTCTCCTGTGGAAGGATGGCCACACAGTGACTATGTTCGCTATTGGCATATCCTTGGCCCTGCGCTTTAAAAAATAAATAAATTATAATATGAAGTACCGGTACGTATGATTTCTATGGTATGACATTGCAATTTCCGGCACCTGAGGCAGAAGTCCATATTCTCAGCCCCAAATCTACCGACAAATCACCCTTAAGAAGAAGGCATATAACTGTTGAGTGGTACTTCCTAAAAGCATACGGTACTGGTACATTATAAGGTCATTTTCATTGAGATATTTAATAATTTGACTTGCATTTCCACAATTTTGGCTAGCCTACCTGGTATACCACCGAGATTGGTGTATAATTGTAGGGCTTACCTTTGTAAATGGGGGTAGTCATTGCAGTGGCGTACTGGGTGGGGGCGCACGCCCCAAAAATACTCCCCACCCAGTCGCCCCAAAAATCATGGTCAAGTAGTTAAAAATCACCTAAAATCACCTTATTTTGAGAATTAGCGCCCCTCAACTGATCATCGAGACCCCCACTTCACCTTCGAACTTTGAACGATTATTAAAAGTGTTTTACATTATCACAGTTATACATATCTAATGATATCAGATTATCATTTCATTTTATTAGCTTAAATAAATAAAACTCATATACAAGATAATTGTTGACATGTTCATTGGTTAATCTGATAAAAGCATCAATTCAATAAATATCGTATGTTTTTTTTTCTTTTGGTCATAATAAGTAGAAATGCTTATTATTATGGTCAATCCAGCCAATAGCCGGAAAGATGCCCTCCTGAAAACATATAAAAATTCATATTTAAAAAAAAAATATAATAAAAAAAATAAAAGATATATTGTCAAATTATTATAACAGTCGGAAGGACCCATGCTCCAAAACAAACCATCATATCACACACATCATCACACATCTTAGTTGACATGGTTATTCAATTTTCATGCGTCAGGGGCCACCACCACTGTACTCTTGAACCAGGGCCCCTCATCACAACCTAGTTACGCCACTGGTATCGTATCGTACGATTTCATACCGCCTGCCAGCTATAGACAATATCCATGTTGAATTAGTGGTATTGACCTATGTACATTTGTTAATTGCATTATATTATATACGTTGATAAAGTAGCCAGGATTTTCAAACAGTGTGGGACATTATCAGGGATGGACCAATTTGTAAATTCAAATAATGTGGATCGACCCATTTTCTTAACAGTGGACTCATTTTACGCATAAATTTGAGACCTCTGGACCTATTATTTTGTATAAATAATATGAACTCAATAGAAAAATTGTGCGGGACTGTCCCAATGGTCCCAATAGCTGGCTACGGCATTGGTACTAAGATTTTATTTTGTTCAAATAACTTGCGATAGTTCTTGTGGTAGTTCATAAAGTTAAATAAACGACGAAAGAACATCGGATCTGTTAAGGCTTGTTTTATTCTTTAACGGTAATTTACTGGTATACTGATGTCCGGATACGGCTATATTAAAGGTCTTCAAAGTCATATAAGGCAGTATTAAATATTAGTTGGTTGCTAATTGTTTCTATTACGGTTTTATGGTGCCAGTGTTGACGAAAAATTAAAATTCTCGCAATTAACAGACTCAAACTCTCTTTTTAAAATTCTTTACATAGCTCTGAAATAATTAGGGTCAATTTAATGGTAGGAAATGGTGGATTATAATGATACAAGTCAGCGGCAAGCATGGAGCAGTCATTGTGTAATAGAGTGTATCTGGTGGTATTTGAATCTGTTCAACCATAAAGCCTCCGTGGTCTTGTGGTTATGACACTCGCCTTGACAGCGAGAGGTCGCAGGTTCGAGTCCCGCCAGAGGCATTTTATTACATTATTTCTTTATTCATTTATTTTACAGGACTACATTCGTTGAGAGCTATGCTACACGATGTATTTATTAAGTCCTTTATTCGAACACTGTATTTACCTTTCTTTGATGATTTATATATGATTTAACAGTGTTAACGGCTACCTTGATTTATGTTATATGCACCTATTTGTTTCTAGCCGTACCTATTGTGTAATAGAGTGTATCTGGTGGTATTTGAATCTGTTCAACCATGAAGCCTCCGTGGTCTAGTGGGTATGACACTCGCCTTGACAGCGAGAGGTCGCAGGTTCGAGTCCCGTCAGAGGCATTTTATTACACAATTTCTTTATTCATTTATTTTACAGGACTACATTCGTTGAGAGCTATGCTACACGATGTATTTATTAAGTCCTTTATTCGAACACTGTATTTACCTTTCTTTGATGATTTATATATATATAAAGGGCAGCCTGTCTTGTCGGAAAAGCAGGCTGCCCCTGAAGCAGTTGCTGAGCTTATCA